TGGTATGTTTTTCTCCAGCCTTTGATTCTCAGCCTATTTTTGTCTGTAATCTTTAGATGTGTCTCCTGTAGGCAGTAGATTGAGGGGTTGTGTTTTCTCAGCCAGTCTGTTAGCCTCTGCCTTTTGATGACTGAGTCCAGTCCATTGATATTACAAATGCAATTATTTTTAAGTTAATGAAAACCCAATTGGATTTTTCTTTCCCCCAGGAAAAAATTATAAGATTGAATTTATCCTGGATGATGTTGCACGGGCAGAATCCAGGACATTCAGCCTACCAGTGCAGTCTCTGTCAAGCAGCAGTGGGGGCAGCAGCAGTGGCGGAGGCAGCGGTAGCAGCAGTAGCAGCAGCAGCAAAGCAGCATCTCTGGGTACTGCTGCCCATCTGGCTATAGTAATTAGCACTCTCACAGGTAGACTGCTACTCTTGGAAATATGGCCTCAGTTTTGAATCTGAATGTAAGTAGTTCTTCTTTTAAAATAATATTTCTCTCTTCATATTGAGATACCTGTAATGTTTACTCAATACAGACTTTGTTCACCACATGTGTAAGACACTACTTGGCTCCTAAAACACACTTTCAGGCATTGGGAAAGTCATGGTGTTATTGGTGAGCAAGAGCACTCTGCAAGAAGTGGCACTGGTCCTGTGCAGTGGTATGTAAGAATGTGCAGGATGAGCCACACTGGAAATATTGGGACTCTTAGAGTTGCTTGAGACAGAAGCTCATCACATATTGCTTTAGGCAATAAGAATGAACTCACTTGACTGAAAAGTCATCAAGTAGTCTGGCTTCTACCACAGCTAGATCCAAGAGCTCAACTGAAATCTCCCAGAACCTATATATCTCTCTTGGTTCCCGACAGACTCTCCACCCCCACCATCTTCACTAGCCAAGGCAAAGGCAGCTGCCAGCACCTTCAAGTTTATATTCTACCAGCCATGCTGCTAAGGCAGAAAGAGCAGACCTCTTTCTCAATCGACTCAGCAAAAATTCCAAAGCACTGGAATTGTCCTGGTTTAGGTCAACTTGAGGTGAAGTGTAATCTCCCAGAAGGAAATCAAGATGGTGACACCTGAAGTAGCAGAAAGACAGAAGTCATGAATTATCAGGGAAATAAAGAGGAGGGGAGGTCCCTGTGGACTGGAATGATGACAGAAGACTCTCAATGTCACCTGAGCAGCTTCACTTTCAATTTCAGAGAAATACAGAATGAGTAAGATTTGGAGAGCACTACCATGACTCGAATTCGATCTTGCAAGTCTGGGTAGACCAGAGGAGGTACACTGGTACAGATAGGAACTGAAAATACAGGGAATCCAGGATGGATGAGCCCTACAGGACCAGTGGTGTGAGTGGCAAAACAGGGAGGATAAAGGGAGAATGGGTAGGAAAGAGGGAACCGATTACATGGAACTGTGTGTGACCTCCTCCCTGGGGGACAGACACCGAAAAGTGAGTGAAGGGAGACATCGGACAGGGCAGGATATGACAAAATACCCATTTATACACTATCAAGGGCTCATGAGGGAGGGGGGAGCGGGGAGGGAGGGGAAAAATGAGGACCTAATGTCGGGGGTTTAAGTGGAGAGAAAATGTTTTGAGAAACGATATACAAATGCGCTTTACACAATTGATGTGTGTATGGATTGGGATAACAGTTGTATGAGCCCCCAATAAAATGTTTAAAAAAAAAAAAAAGATTTGGAGAGCAAGAGAAATGACATTCACAACAGGGGTGTGAGAGGAACAATGAAAAGCGCAGAAAATAGGCACCACCAACGATCCCTGTTCGGCACAGAATTCTTCAACCTGCCCTTCCCAAAGTGTATCTTCCTCTGCTGCTTTCTCATCTCAGTTAATGCCATTGCTGTGTCCTCACTCAGATTGAGACCTGCTTCTCCCTTTCCTTCATGCTCCCCATCCCTTCATGTGCGCCAGGCCGTCTAGATCCAACAACAATGTCTCATATCTGTCCCTCCATTAAAGTCTAATGGCTCTATCTAAATCGACCTCTGACTTGACCTTGGACAATAGCTCCTGAATTCCCTGTTTCGGAAACCCTTCAGCCCACCCTACAGACTGCGGCCAAATTTAGATTCCTAAAACACTTGGTCACCAAGTAATACAGTCATTTCAAATCTTAAGGTTCCCTAACATATGAAGTACAATCAACACAAAAGGCCCTAAAACCAGCCTTATCGACTACAGACTTACCAAAAAAATCATTCTCTGAAAAGAATCTTTCCATTCCCATACCCTCTTCATCTGAATGATCTTTTCAATTCAACAAGTGCACCTCCCAATACCTGCTCCTATATGACCTCCACTTTTCGTGCTTCCCACCCAACATTCAATTCTCCTCTCCCTGGTCTCCACTTTCACTTGTTTATACCATTATCACAGCCATTTCTATAGTGCACTTGTTCTAAACATATTTATGCACATCTACCTTCCCCCACTACATTCTGAGAACTTGGAATATGACTTCATGTGTCTTACATAGAGTACTAAAAATATAGTTTAAAAATGTAAAAATACATACAAGTGTTAGAAATATGGTTTGAGTCTCAATTTTAAAAAGCAGGTAAGTCCTTTGCCCTGACTTAGAGGGAAATGTTGCATAGGATTTTTATCGGCAAATTGTGAAGAATTTGATTGGAAGATATTAATCAGTTTGCCGTTGGTTCAATGAATGTGTGAGCAAGGGAGGTCGTGTGACAGAGCAAGGCGATGAGAGCATCACTGAAGAAACACTGACAGACTAAGAAAGACTTTCATTGGGGAAAATTAAATGATCGAAGTTGAGACTAGATTTTACATTTCAAACAAAAAGGACAGAGTTAGGGAACATGATCAAGTTGGTTCTGAGAGTGGCAAAATAAACTTGAACCTAAAACCAACTGCTGGAGTTTCAGAAACAACAATGAAACAGGAAGGAGTGAGTCCTTATTTCCCTCCTAATGGCAGAGACAAATTAGACTCAGGTGGCCAGCTCTGGCCTCTCCTGATTGAATATAGAAGCGTTTGGAGTCGAAAGATAATAAATAGATGACCAGCACAATATCATATTCCATGTCAATTTTAGCTGAGTTGTTTTTCTTCTCAGAAACACATGAGACTTGATATTTTAATGCTTCTGACTGTTGTTTCTGAAATCCCTATAGCTGATTTCATCCTTGCTTATTTTGTTGCTCTGGGAGCCAACTTTTTATATATATATATATATATATATAAAATTTGTTTGTTTCCTCATTAAATGCCTTGTTTTCTAATTACCTTCACTGTCTTTTATCCTGTTTGCTCCTGACAATGTTGATATTTTACCAAATTCAGAAAATTCTGTTCTCAAATTTTTTGAAAATTATATAGTTGCTTTTTTTCAAGATAAATTACTTTGCTACTAAATATTCTGTCTTACTTTAATTAAAATATAAGATTATTTTATTAATCATGTTTCATTAAACATTAATAAGTTCAAATGCTAAGATTTTTTATAACTTTGCCTTCTGAACTTGTAGGAAACAGAAGGATTTCTCCCAAGTTGTCTCCCCCAAATATATGCCAAACTTAGATGCTTGTGAATAACTATACACTTGGAGGTCATCAGAAGTAGGTCAGGGTTATTCTCCTTAAGCGTTATCAGCCATCTAGACCAAGCAAACACCACTGTTTATCCCACAACAAATAGGGCCCACTCCCTTCTGATAAGGATAGTAGTTGTCTGTTTCCTTGTAGGAGAAGCCCAAGAGGTCAAACCTGCCCTAGGATGACCAAAGTTAGGCTGCCATCATGAATCTAGGATCCACCCATCTTGTCACATGTATACCCCTAGAACTCCCCACTCTTAGGGGCACACCCCTAGCTCATCCCCTTCCTGTCACGCTTATGCCTATCATACATCCTATTGCTACGATGTGTATGCCTATTGTACTGCCCCTTCCTGTGATGCGTGGTTACCTGTACTCATGCCCCCCTAATGAGATATAACTCTTGGTTAGCAATAAAGTGGGGGCTCTCTCCTGCTCTCGCAGCTGGGCTCCCCCCACGAGGACCACCAAGCGGGGCTGAGGTGAGCATGCTACCATGAATTGTATCTTACTCCATTATTTGACTCTTCTATCTCTCATGCTCTCTATGACTTTACTATAATCTTTACTTATTATTGCTGTATAATTGCACCTACCAGACCTGTGATGATTTGTTGAGGACC